CCACTCTATCCCTTTGGATTGGATCTTATTGTTTCTAAAGACTTACTTGAACTTGAAGGCGTGGGTGGGGGAGGGCTGGGTTATGGGGGCGTGGGTGGGGGAGGGGCTCTCACCCTTGCACAGAGAAGTGGAAATCTCCGGCTGTCAGTCTATTGGTTAGGGAGCCGCCACCACTGTTGGTGATGGTGGTGAGTCATGTTGGTGATGGTGGTGAGTCATGCTGGTGGTGGTGAGTAAACCACCACCAAGTAAAATTGACCTGCTAGGACCAGTCCCCCCCACTGTGACCTGCTAGGACCAGTGTCCCCCCACTGTGACCTGCTAGGACCAGTGTCCCCCCACTGTGACCTGCTAGGACCAGTGTCCCCCCACTGTGACCTGCTAGGACCAGTGAAGTAAGAGACCAGAGAAGCGTCGTCTTCAACAGTAAGAGTCGCAGCAGCAGCAACATCAGAGATCTTGACACATTAAATATGCAAGTGTACTCGACCAGGTAGATGCTTCAGTCTTCCCTCACTCCCTCCCTCCTACCTTTCTTCCTTCCCCCTTCCCTCTCTCCCTCCTTCCTTCCCTCACTCCCTCCCCGCATCCCTCCCTTCCTCCCTCCCTAATCATAATACCTTCAGACAGGTCACGGGGAGAGAGTGCATTATTTACATGTAGAATTGTCGTTGAGTTAGGCGTGCTGCGAGCAGCGATGGGAAGGGTTGGGAGGACTGGGAGGGGGAGAGCAGGGAGGGAGAGTGGTGGGAGGGGAGTGGAGGAGAAGGGAGAGAGGCGGTCCTCAACAGACACACTAACACTGGCAGATGACGCGTGTTAGTGGTCCGTCTAATTAGACCATAAAAACTTAAGACTCAAGGTAACAGCAGAAGACCTGTTGACCCGCGTACAGCTCCTATTTATATCCACCCAATCCCACTCAAGTATGTCTAACCTACACTTGAAACAATCAAGGGATCCTACTTCTATTAATTACGGAGTATGCTGGCATATCAGCCACCTATACCTAACGTAATCTAACCTAATATAACCTCCAGGCAACAGTATATCTTGGATAAGTCGCTCCACAACATTGTCGCTTGGATCGTCGACTTCCTACGGCGTCACCTGTCACTTAGTTTCGTCTAATTTCGTTACAAAATATATGTTATTTCAGAATAAAAATACGTTTTTTTCATGGTTTACATTCATTACAGTGAGCAAATATATCATATTTCTTCCTTGCGTAATGCTAGGCAGCTTTGGGTAATTAGACGGAGCGCGTGACCTGAAGACAGCGGTCGTCACAGCCATCAAACACAAGCAAGCAAGCTTAGAACACAAGCTGGATATATTATATGACTGGTGTTGTATGGGTTAGAGAGCGCCAAACTCTCCCATGTCTCTGTCTCAGCTCGTGTCATCAAACACAACGACTGAGTTCGCGAAATTCCGGAGTTATTACGTGTGATGTTAGTTAAGAAATAGTGAGGTGAGGAGGGAGGTAGTGGAGTCCTACCTCACCCATGACTCAGGGTCCAAAAGCTAAAGCTCAACCCCTACCCTCTACCCCCCCCCCCCCATACAAACCACATTCAGCTGAACACGCACGCATACACGAACACATACACACACACACACCACACACAGACACACAAACACACACTCATCTCAAACCCACACACAAACAAATAACCCAACACACAACCACACACACAAACAAACAACCCAACCCAAACAACCCAACCCAAACAACCCAACCCAAACAACCCAACACAAACACAGGGGAACGGTAATATATAATCCAATTGTTCTGAGCTCCAAAAAAATATTTAAACTCATGCACGCCTTTGATCATTTAATTAAATTATTTCCCCCCATGGATATTTTATGTTAATAGAGTCATAGTGGTCAAATTACCTTCATTATTTTCAAACACCTTCATATGAAAAATAATGGATGAGTGAAAATTAGTAAGTAATTATATTTGGTTCATAGATCAGAGAGAGAGAGAGAGAGAGAGAGAGAGAGAGAGAGAGAGAGAGAGAGAGAGAGAGAGAGAGAGAGAGAGAGAGAGGGTCAGGTCAGCTGCAGGAGTGATTAACAATTTGTCGTGATCAGGTCATTCATTACCAATGGGCAGGGTGCCCCCCCCCCACGCCCCAAACCGCTTATCCATGCTCAACGGAGTTAAGTAACGCTGGGTATGGTCAGTGTTCGGCGGGTGATCGCACGGGAATACGGAACGATGTTCGTATCATTTATGACGGACTAATGACGTCTTTTCATTCCTGGCGCTCAAGGGCAGTGTCCTTATATACGTAGCTGGAACTTAAGAACAAATAATAACAAATTAACTTTGTTATGTTAATATCGCCGTTCATGCTCCAGTCACTATAACATGCTTTTATGTTTGGTTCAAGTAATATTATTATTAATACAAGTACTACTAATTATTACAATAATTATAATTAAAACTACTATTACAATTATTATTGTTCACTTTGCAGTTATTGAGTAGTTTGTATCATCACTTATTAGACTCAACCCATCCTCTTGTTTAGATAGTACTTATAGTAACTATGTGCGCCACCGTACATATATTGACGTAGTGGACAGTTAGATAGTAGAAGTTGGTACTATTCACTTCAGAAGTGTTCAGACAAAAATAAGGATAAAAAAACAAACTTAACTATTTGTAGGCCCTGGTAGAGCACATATACCTACTATATAAGGCCTTAGATAACGTGAATTAGGCCTAGGATGGTTAGGTTAGGGTTTTATTAGAAACATAAATACAAAACGTTTTCCAGTTTCATATAATTATATTCATATCATATTATTATCATTAAGAGTCAAATATTCATTAAGTAATATACTTATTAAGTAATAAATATCATTAAGTCGTATAATAATTCAGTCATAGAGTCATTAGCATCAATATAATCCTTAACAGTCATATATCGACTATGATATCATTACCATCAAAGCTTTCGTGGTTATCAGTGCGCTCATTACCATTACATTGAAAAATATATATAAATAGGACACATTATGCAGAATAACAACTCCAATTAGGGAATAATCCATCAGGAAGCCTTTCACTAAAATGGGGGCGTTGATTATTGGTTCCTGGGTGGGGCCATTTACTGGATTTTTAGGTAATTAAGGGAACAGATGATTCAAAATGGCCGGCAGTTTTCCCTGCTATATTACGGATATGAATTATGGATTTTAGTGGGGAGAGGGGAATGTTGTGTGTGTGTGTGTGTGTGTGTGTGTGTGTGTGTGTGTGTGTGTGTGTGTGTGTGTGTGTGTGTGTGTGTGTGTGTGTGTGTGTGTGCTCTCCTATTTGTGCTTGCGAGGGGAAAATAATTGAGGGGCTGGTCCCAAACCTGCACACAGAAATAACACCACATGAGACCAGAAGACATGGCAGGATGTGCAGAATACCCCCGTTGAAAAGCAGAGGTGCAACAGGTACTCTGAGAGAGAACTCTATCAACATCAGAGGCCCGAGACTGTTCAACACGCTTCCACTACACATAAGGGGCATAACTGGCAAACCCCTCACAGTGTTCAAGACAGAACTGGATAAGCACCTCCAAAGGATACCTGATCAACCAGGCTGTGACTCATACGTCAGGCTGCGAGCAGCCGCGTCTAACAGCCTGGTTGATCAGTCCAGCAACCAGGAGGCCTGGTCGACGACCGGGCCGCGGGGACACTAAGCCCCGGAAGCACCTCAAGGTAGCCTCAAGGTAGGGGTTGCACTCTGGCTCTTTGGTCCCGCCTCTCATCTGTCAATGAACTGGTGTACAGGTTCCTGATCCTATTGGGCTCTATCATATCTACACTTGAAACTGTGTATGGAGTCAGCCTCTACCACATCACTTCCTAGTGCATTCCATTTGTGAACCACTCTGACACTAAAAAAAGGCTGGAGAGTGATTGTGGGCGTTCACAAGGAGCACCTGGTGAGACTGTAAATAAGCTGGGCCATGGCTAGGGTAGACTCGTTGGTGTTTCCCAGTATTGGTTGAGGACGGTACTGTGTGTTGAGGAAACACGGAAGTTGACAAGGCTGCATTGCATGAGCATCGAGGAGCGCTTAGTGTCCTATGAGAGCGACACATGTGTATATATCGGTGTAGTAATACTTCCTTTATGATTCTATTTAAGGTGATGGGAAAGTGATGATATGTGAATATATTGATAAAGGATGAAGTGCCGTATTCCTTTCAACTCCCCCCTTGTGTTTTACTTACATTACCAAGCCAACTCCTTGAAAGCCACTACCGACTTGGGGTCGGATACTAGTACTTTGGTTCCTCCAGCAAAGAACCCGGTTGCGACCCATAGTGGCCGTAACAGAGAGAGAGAGCAAGCACTACCAGAGACAGTGATGACGTCACTCTTGCCCCTCTTCCTCCCCCCAGCACCTTTACCCTTTGGCCTGTGGGAAGGTCACTATGTCACACCCTCACTTAACATCACCACCACCAACAACACCGTCACCACCAACATCGTCACCACCACCAGCACAACCAGCACCCCCCCCCCACCACCAACACCCCCCCCCCACCACTACCCCCCCCCCCCACCACCAACACCCCCCCCCCCCCCCCCCCCCACCCCCCCCACACCACCACCACCACCCCCCCCCACCACCACCATCACCACCGTTACGAAATGTTCGTAATATTTGTATGACTTCAAACTATAATTCAAACCAATAATTAGTCCAATAATTGATGAATGAGGCGAGATAGCCGGCGTGATAACGACCGGACCACATGTAGGTGTGTCCACGGGTCCTCGTTATCTTGCCAGATAACAACTCTCATGTGACTGCCGTGCGGTAATTACTCTCACAGCTGCTGCTTGTTAACTACAGCGATGTGTCTCATTAATGTTAAACTCTAGACCGGGAGTTGCACACAATCTTGTATGTCGGAAGCAGTGTTATGTTGATAATGCTTTCTATTTCTCTACCGCAGTAACTATGCAGGTCAACCATGGTGCCTGCGGACCGCATGCGGCCCTATGGAAGCACACCTGCGGACCGCATGCGGCCCTATGGAAGCACACCTGCGGTCCGCACAAAGGGTACTGTAATTTGGCCATTTAACGGGCCAAATTGCAGTTTTTATAACCTAAACTATCACCATTTAATAGATTTCAAAGGCACATAAGAAAACAGGAATGCAGCTGTGAGGCAAGCGAGTTAAGACTAATAAAATGAGTATGGCAATGTTCGGTTCTACCTACGTGTGTGTACACTTATTTCCCTTCATGAAATCATCAAAACCTTCTCAGAGAACAAGGCCGACTGGTCAACACTTGTCATGTCTGATCAGAGTGGGAACTGCTCAGACATCTCTGCCACACAGTAAAACTTGTCATTAACAAGAGGTGTCAAGCGACAGGACAAAACACTAAAAATTATTGAATAGTCGTAAATAAATGTTCATTTTGAACTGTTGTAATTTTTGTACAATGTTGCTGTTGCATAAACGTCTGTGTTGCCGTTGGAAATTGTACATGTGTCCTATACATCCTGATATAATGTTTACACTCGAATGCACACACACACACACACACACACACACACACACACACACACACACACACACACACACACACACACACACACACACACACACACACACACACACCTATACATCAGCAGCCAGTTTGTTCAAGTGTTTTTTTTTATTTTGTTAAACTACTTCATTACTTTACATTCATGAGTGTGGCGAGGCGGTATACCACTTGTATGCACAGTGTAAAAGTCTCTAAGTTTAAGTAATACAAATATTTTGCAATAATTTGTATTAAATGACATCAATTAGTAGTGGTGTGTGGCCCTCATGACAACACAAATGTGGCCCATATGGCCCTGAAGGAGGCCCCCTCAGATTGACATGCCTGCTCTACACCCCCTGCCCCCCCCCCCCTTCTCTTAACTAAGTCAGTGGTTCATTAAAAATAGTGGTCATATTGATAATGAACCGGCAAGCTAAGAGCGGTTATCCTACATCAACTAATCTCAAGCCTCACTCTAGAAACTCATTTATTTAATGAGTTGATGTTCATATCTAATGTTATTCTTCAGCTTTATCTTGTCCTTGTTAGGTGTTGCGTCCAGGTCAGCTGCCGTCCCTGCGGTACAGCAGGCAACTGGAACATGCATACACGAGCATGACGAAGACAGCGCCAGGAGTTACAACACTCCCATATGAAGATACTTCAAGATGTAAGGGTGCAATAATGGGCATATTAAAAGGGTGTTAACTATATCATCACAAAATATTACACAACAAAATGACTACAACTTAGATAAGTGTCAATTCAGAAGAGGCCGTCTGTTACCACAGGTTAGGGAACAGCAGTGCCACACACCTGAGCCGGTGGCTGAGCGGATAGAACACTGGGCGCGTGATTCTCTAGTCCCGGGTTCGATCCCGGGCGCCAGCGAGAAACAATGGGCAGAGTTTCTTTCACCCTGATGCTCCTGTTACCTAGCAGAAAATAGGCACCTGGGAGTTAGTCAGCTGTCACGGGCTGCTTCCTGGGGGTGGAGGCCTGGTCGAGGACCGGGCCGCGGGGACACTTCTGCCCCATTACCTCACCTGTGTCCTGTGCCTTCATGGTGGAGTGTATCCTGGTGAGTAACAACTTCTCACAACTATAACTCATTGCATGGATCATGCAGTGAAGGTTGTCGTCGTGCATCAGGGACCTGCAACTTGGCAGCAATATGGCCTGCAACAGGTCAGCCTCCTCCTGATTGCTCGTTACCACTGCTTTGCATTGCTACACTGCTTCTCAGTGTAGTGGTGAGTGTGTTCTGGGGGGAATATTCCAGCCAGGCTTTAACCACAAGAATTGGGACCCGACTCTTCTTAGTGGTACCAAGAAGTGCTACTGGCTTAGCACTCCTCATAATTACCTTACCTCTTGCACTACAAGTTTTATACTTGTTTCAGACACCTATTGGGAAATAAAGAGAGTTCGAACCTCTTTCATGTGACGACATGCTTGTCTATTATAAGTTCCTGTTGACATCTCCAGTCCTTGGTTTGTGGTCTCGGGTGCCACCCGGTATCTATCTCCAGAAATTATGGCTGGAGAAAAAGCTTGGTCAGACACTGCCCGCGGCGGGTAGCCAGTGTGTTACCTGCTTGATGGGGTTCTGGGAGTTCTTCTACTCCCCAAGCGCGGCCCGAGGCCAGGCTAGACTTGTGAGAGCTTGGTGACTGTGTGACTGGTGAAGACCTGAGCCAACAGTTAGTGTTTGAAACTTTGTTCAATGTCAACAAATCTTTTTTGACTAGTTGTATATGAAAAGGGCTGAAATTGTTCCAAGCTTCAGTACTGCAGCCTAAATAGAACGGGAGGTTTTTTTTTCAAAGAATATTATACATTTTCAGTAAGTTACTACCACCACACGTTTCAGATATAATCATTCTATGACACTTTTCTGATACATTAACATATAATAAAGGCTCTGATGCCGCGGATTTTCCAAAATATGTTTAGTTCTACTAATACAAATAGTCAAAGTTCTCCCAAAAAATATTTAAATATATAATGTTTTTTGCTATTATAAAATCAATAAATTAACTTAGGAAAAAAATGCTGGCATCAGATTTTAGAGACATAAACTTTACATGTTTTGAATAAAAATGAAAGAGTAGCAACTCCTCTTGAAAAATAAATAATTAAAATTTTAAGTCTAATGTGCTGCCATTTGTGGCTGAGGTTGACATCAACCAATTTCCACCAAAATTGGCACCCATACAGGTAGGCTTACGTGCAGTCAGGTGTATAAGTTTCATGCAAATCGTCCAATAAACAAATAAGAAAAATAAAATTAAAAAAGAAAATCTATTTTTTTTAACTTAATTTTTGGGGGATAAAACTAATTATTACATTTTTCTTTAATATATGCTATTGTGATAGCTGAGTCATATAAATTATTTCAGTTGACACTTGTGTTTGATGTTAATTTTTGACCATTTTGAAAATTTTTTGACACTAATATTTTTTTTCTCCTTTCCTATTTAAATTACGATGCTTAGACTTAGACCAGATGAAACCCTTTTCATATACAATTTGTCAAAAAAGTTTGATTGAAATCAAACTAGTTTTCATTTACTGCATATTTACTGCATTTTGACATTGTGGAAATTGATTTTCACCCAATTCTGTAGCGACAGCCAGTGTGCCGTAGATTCCCTCCCGCCCCTTCCCCTCCTCTCTCTCTCTCTCTCTCTCTCTCTCTCTCTCTCTCTCTCTCTCTCTCTCTCTCTCTCTCTCTCTCTCTCTCTCTCTCTCTCTCTCTCTCTCACCCAACCCAGTTAGCAGGGCGTCAGTATAAGCGGTTGGGTGTCAGTCTATTTGTCATGGTGATGGTGGGAGAGAGGTCAGCTTCCGTGAGGGGTGGCGTGAGGTGGTAGCGTGAGGGGGTGGCGTGAGAGGTGGCGTGAAGGGGGGGGGGGTGGCGTGAGGGGGTGGCGTCAGAGGGGAGAGAGAGGGGAGGATGATGGCATTGAGTGACGTTTCCTGAAGTCACAGTGATTGTCTAGGTTGGCTGGAATGGTTGTGTAGGCTCCCCATCCCTCCCCCTCCCCTTCACCCTCCCCTTCATCCTCCCCCTTCACCCTCCCCTTCACTCCTTCCAATCAACCCTTCACTTGACCGCTTCCCCTCACAACCTACCTTTACTCATCCCCCTCACCCCTTCCCGAGATTCATCCCGCCTCATCATAATCATCGCCTTTACCACCATTATCATCACCAAACTATGAACCACAGAGTGCAGGACGACCCTGGCCTCTGGTGGTGACCATGGAGAGAGGGGGAGAGGCACCAGGTGAGGGGAAGGGGAGACAGCGGTGACTAACAACACACACAAGTTATATAAAACCACTACATTCCGTTCACCTGGTCTGTAGGGGTCTCGAACCCTGGACCCTAGGCCTGCGAGCTCTAACGTAATAAAACCACTACACTCACCTGTGGTTGAGTGCTCACTGACCCATTACACTATGTGTAGGAGAGCATGTCTCCAGCCCTGGCCAGGGAGGATATCTCCAGCCCTGGCCAGGGAGGACATCTCCAGCCCTGGCCAGGGAGGACAACTCCAGCCCTGGCCAGGGAGGACAACTCCAGCCCTGGCCAGGGAGGACATCTCCAGCCCTGGCCAGGGAGGACATCTCCAGCCCTGGCCAGGGAGGACATCTCCAGCCCTGGCCAGGGAGGACATCTCCAGCCCTGGCCAGGGAGGACATCTCCAGCCCTGGCCAGGGAGGACATCTCCAGCCCTGGCCAGGGAGGACATCTCCAGCCCTGGCCAGGGAGGACATCTCCAGCCCTGGCCAGGGAAATATAAACACGCAGGTTACCATTGTACAAATCACTGGCCTCGTCTATGGTAGAAAAGAACCATAAACACTTCTCAATGTGTATTTATTTCCCAAGAATCACCTGTCCAGCGCATCAATGTTCATTCTCAATATTCACCTGAAGGCATCAATGTTCACAGTACAGAACTGCCACTTAGGAAACAGCAGTGAATCACCTTTCAGATGTTGCCAAGTTAGTTTTCTAAAGATTATTCAGCGGTTATAGCAATAATTATTATGATAATTATGAACAAATAAGTCAAGACAAATCTGTAAATAAAAATGTTCTTGTTGGCCTTCTATAGAAAACAAATAATTTATTCATTTCCCTTTCACTGAAGACTTACTTTTTGATGAAACTATGGCTGGTTCGGTGATTACTGCCCCTCCATGCCCCTCTTGCCCTGGGGACCCCATCTGTGTGTGTGTGTGGGTACTCACCTATTTATGCCTGCAGGATCGAGCATTGACTCTTGGATCCCGCATTTCTAGCCATCGGTTGTTTACAGCAATGACTCCTGTTCTATTTCCCTATCATATCTAGTTTTAAAATTATGAACAGTATTTGCTTCCACAACCTGTTCCTTAAGTGCATTCCATTCTCCCACTACTCTCACGCTAAAAGAAAACTTCCTAACATCTCTGTGACTCATCTGAGTTTCCGGCTTCCACCCATGTCCCCTCGTTCTGTTACTA